TATATATACATTAAATACATTAAATATTAATTTCAGTTTTCATAATGAGAAAAATGACTTGAAAATGTGTAAAAGTGTTTTGTTGCAGAAATTATTTAGTTTGAAATAATGTTTTTTTTGTAGTAATTATCTTCATTATAGTCTTCAAAGACATCCGAATTTGACTATAACTTTCAAGTCTTTGCCAGTCTGATGACATCATTTAAAATGTTAAATCAGATGTTTTGATGAGTTACTTATCTAAGTTGGATTTTCCAAAACACTTACTTGAACAAGTTGCAAAATGAGAATCATGCTGTATTATCTAACATACCAGTTTATGTCTAATAAAAAAAAAACAGTTTCTGTGTAATAAAAAAAGACCTGGATTTCTTCAAATATGTATATGTTTAACGTAGAATTGAATTGAAGGCATTCGTTTAATTTGAGGCATAAAATTTAAAAATTTGGAACTGCACTTCTTTGTACAAGAAAGCATGTTTTATAAATGCTAATACGATATAAAGAATTACCAATAGAGTTCTTAAAATTATTGTTAGATCATGTAGATAGCTGTACCTACGGTACGTAGAATGTTAGTAACATTCCATCACACAAACATACACACAAAAAAAGCTTTTTCATTAACACATTTCTTTATTGTCTTACAAATATTAAGTTATCCACAAAAATAAAATAACTTAGATAATATCCATATTAAAACATACAAAATACAAACATACATTACACTGAACACTTGGAAAAAAAAAAAACAATGCATGTTGCTGATAACTTCCCAGAGATTTCCTGGACAGTTTTGTATGTGCAAACTAATTATCAGAGTCAAAATAACCTTTTACACTGGAAACATATAATCCCACTTTTTTTTCCTGCTTTCAACACAGAAACGTTTACTTAAAAAATAAATTACACCATCTGATAAGAAGCTTTACTCATACAAGTTTCTTGAGCTCACATATGATCCTATAATAAGCAGAAATCCTCTCTGCACACTCTGAATGTTGCYGTCAGGATATCTGTGTTGCACACATTGAAGACGCGTAATGGTGAGTATGAATTTATAACAAGGAGCCTACAGTGCTGCCCACAGGATGTTGCATCACAAAACTGGAAACACGTTGATTGATGTCACTTAAGGATGTTTATAGCGCGTGCAACCGGAGCTCAGTTTCCTCAGGCAACTAAACATTATTGATGACATCTGTGCTGCATTATTCTTTTTTTTATTTACAGTGTTGTTCAGATTGTGTATAGGGTGAAAAATGTATTTTGAATAATGCACTCTGAATAACATCACATTAACCACACATGGAATATTTTTGATAAATTAGTTCATGTATCTAAAAAAATAAAAAATAAAAATACTTGCCTTAGTGGTTTCCTGCTGTCATATTCAAGTGAGCTCATAAGATGAAAGAAGTGGTACGTTCTTATTAAAAGTTATCATTGGTTCAAAGAAGACAGATGTCCTCAGATGTGATGGTCTGATCAGATTTCTGTTTGATTTTAAGGTGGCATCTCAATGAGCTGAGTCGCTGGAATCAAGTCAGTCGTGAAAACATCTCATGAATGTCTTGCAGTTTTCAGGAGGTTTTAAACTTCCTTGTCTAAATAAAGAAAAATGGCGTAACATTTTTTTTTACTCAAAAGTTTCATAATGTCATTAYGGGTGTCTTTAAMCCACCTTAAACCCTTTTGAAATGTKCTGAATCCAACTCGAGAGCAGAAGCATTTTAACTCCTGCAAGGGAGCTCTTGTCTGCGACCGAGGAGGGAACGACAAAACTATACACAAAAACACGTTGTAATGTTCGTGAAAATGTTTGCTCAAAACGCAAACACGCAGCTTGACGGTCGCTTGATCACAAACTGGAAATTCACATCATTTCTTGCAATTTTCCCCCACAATTTCGAGTCACCAACTCTCCCAACAGTCGCAGCTCAGTGATGCGCCACCTTTCCCTTCAGCCCTTCAGTTTGTCACTGCTGTAATACTCACTGTGGTTTTAGTCCCTTAAAAGTATCAAGCCTTTGATGCACACATGCAATAACTGCCAAATCCTCTCTACTGTATTTTCAAAATGCTGAAAGAATGTCATAATTGCTGGTAGTTTATGTTTGATCACACACAACATAGTAACAAGAACATTTACAAAGTTTTACCTGAACTTATTGCACTGAATGTGCAACAATGCAGCTTCTAGAAATAAATATTTTTTGCTATTTAAGTGTCTTTCAACAAGGTATGAAATCAGTAAGTGCTCAAACACAGTATGTCGTTTTGTGGGAAACTTTGTAAAGATATCTACATTTGTGTATTTAGATAGTGGCCAAAAACATAATTGTGTGGTTGGATTTGTGCTGTACGTCAGTGTTGGCTTATGGAGTTTAGTGTATAATATAAATATCATATAATAAATCTGAGTTTTAGGTGTCATGTTGATCTTATTTTACTGTAGCTGCAAAACAATTAGCTTTGTGCCTAAGAGTTTTGTTTTGCTGTTTAGCTGTGAGCAAGTGAAAAGACTGTTTTTCTTTTCAGATATCCATCTAATATATTTATGATCTTTAGTCTCAAGTTAACTGCGTTAAACAGCTCATATTTCTGAGTTGTGGCAGCCATATCCGGCATGTGCGCGCTCGTTACCGACAACACAAGTTTCTTTTTGCTGGCTCAGCTGCTTCACATTCTCTTTGCACAACTGTTCTGCAAAGAAAAACTGCAGTCCTTCGCAAAAAGTCTGGGGCAAATATATTAAAGTCGTTTCCCCTTTTTTAGAGAATCACTTTGGATTGAAAACAATGTCTTTCTCTTTCCTTTTCCTAACGTTTTTTTTTTTATTTTTTTCTTCATTTGCAGACGCTGACCCACTCTGTTATCCTGCACTCTTCGCAGACCACGTAACAGCACCAGTGAAACTTGCAGTTGCAACGTTCGCTCCGCGTTTGCTGCAGAATGTTGTGGCCCCGCCCGCAGCACAGGCTCTCGCAGTTGTCCATGCCGGGACTGGTCTTGTTGCAGATCCGGCCCTGCGTGCCCCACGAGTCCGAGCCCAGGTCCCGCTCGCAGAAATCCGGCGACTTTTCGAAGTACACCAGCTCTTTGCTGCTCGGCCGCCGCCGGTGCGTGGGGTGGTTGTGGTTGTGATGCTGGTGGTGACTGTGGTGGTTGTGATTGTTGTGGTTGGAGTGATCCAGCTGCCCGTTGTTCCGGTTGTGAGCCTTGATGAGCGTGGCGACGTGGAAGCGCTCTTTCAGAATCGAGCCCACGACTCGGAACTCCGGAGTGACCTGCCAGCAGGTCTTCAGCTGGCAGCTCCCYGATGTCCCGTGGCACTTGCACTTCCTTTTCATGTTGTCGATAACCACCTGCAAGAGGAAGAGACAACAAAGGAAAAGAAAAAAAGTGGGATGGGGGGTGGAAGAAAAGATAAGGAGAAAATGATGAAATGGATTCATTTCGTCAGAGCTGTTTGAATTTGCAGTTCACTGTATAAAAGTGTGTAAAGATCTAGTTTTTCATTTGTTCTTTCAAACAAGATGTTTATTAAATGTCACAACACCACTGAAAAAAAAACTGCTTCCACATTAGGAGATCCAGGTGGTCTTTCTTTAAGCATGTGGTTAAACGTCCTGATATCAAGTAACACGGTGCATGCAGGCATTACCCAAACAAACAGCACTGTCATTTTTCATTGTCTGGCATCCACTAATGACCCTGAGGGTGACCCACATGTAGCAGCATATTACCCATCAGGGCATTACAGTATTTACATATTTTCTCTGTAATGCTTTCATCCCTGCCAGTCGAACGCAAACTCAAAAGTCTTTTGAAATCATTACTGTTTTGCAAAGTATGTAAATAAATTATACCCATTGCACATACACTTCTGCATTGTCATTTCTGTTTTAGAACAACAGGGAGAGAGCTAATCCATCCCCTTCACTTGTGGCTAGACATAAACAAACAGATACAGAAGAATCCTCCGCGGCGTGAACCATGTCATCCTCCATAATGTGTCTGCATGCGTGTGTTGGTGTGTGTTTATCAGTCAGCACCAGTCCTAAACTTTAAGATCCAATTACCAACAGGAACACACCAGGCCACCCAGAGTACTGACAGAGGCTACTGCTGCCGCCCCTATCAGCAGGCGCATACACTCCTTTAGCATTCTGAGCATGCGCTAACAGTAAGGCCACTTATCACAAACACAAAAGCATGAACTTCAGTTATGTGCTTGTTCTTTCTGCACAAAAAATGAAGAAAGTGACTGAGGGATAAAATGAAATTCACTTTTACTAACAGCTTTGTTTAGTTTAGTCACTCAGCCACTTTTATTTATTTTTTATTAATCTATTCTTTCAATATTGTGTCGACTGGGTCAGGGACTACAGGTGGAAATTAGCACCTAGAGCTATAACCTGATAGAGTGCATCTTTCCTTCTGTGGTTAATGTATACTGTGTATTGTCCCTGTTTTAAATACTACCTACCTACCTACCTACCTACCTACCTACCTACCTACCTACCTACCTACCTACCTACCTACCTACCTACCTACCTAGTTCATTGAGATACAGTAAGTAAAAATCAACCAAGTGACTCCAGTAAATTGTTTTAATTTTATTTTTTTATGTATTTAGTATTGTCTTATAAATTATGTTCTCATTTGAATATATTCTGAGGATAAAAGGGGCAGACATAATAAGATTTATTCTTCTTCTACCTTTCATTTTATTTTGATTTGTGTATTTTCATGGTTTGTTTTTTTGTTATTGTATATAGTTATTTTTTTTAATGAAATGAAAAAAAATTTTTGAATAAAAAAAATTGAATTGAACTTCCATCATCCAAAAAGGAAGCAAAAATGTCTGGTTTACGAGGGCTTGTATTTTTGGAGCCAGTGTCAGCACTCTTAAAACGTGAGGTTGGACCACTAATAGAAAAGCTTTGCCTAAACACCCTTTATTTATTTTAAAACAAAATCAATTCCTTCAAGGAATGTTGAGTTTTGAAGCAAACATATTTGCAAATGTATATGCTTTTGCAAATTAAAACAATTTTGGTTTATTTATTTCTTTTTAGACATCTGGTTAATTTTACAAAACTGATTAAACATGTAGTTATGGCATTTGAGATGATCAAATGTTACAAATACCAAAGTTCCTTGCATCCTTAAGTTACTTAATTGGTATGTTGTAATAATGTATAAAAGAATGTGAAATATTTCCAGCCTTTGCATCATTGCTTGTTTTGTTTTCAGCTTGTTGGGACGACAGAAAGTGAGGTATAAATGCACATTTTGAACAAAGAGGCTTCTATTATTACAGAGAGCGTTGAAAAGAAAGTTTAAAGGAGCTGTGATCAGCGGTGAAGAGATAATAAAGAGTGTAAGATTTCATGGTAAACAACGTTGCAACAGTTCAAACGGCACTTGCACTGAGTTCAGGGTGCAGCTTCTGGTTTAAGTTTTTAGAAAGAGTCAGAGGCAACCCCAGAATCACTAACGTCCTGGCCTTAAACACACAGCAAGGTCTGTAATCATGAAACGCTCCAACCCACTTAAACCTTCAAGAGACAAACTGACCCAGGAGTCATAATTGCATCCACATTGCTACTGTTTGTTGGGTCTTTCACAGCAGGATAGGGACTTCAAAATACTGCTACTGTGGTGTCACTTTTAATTTTACTTTGATGTCTAAAAGTTTTCAGAGGTCAAGAACAGAATCAACTTGACAGATGGGCAACCTGACCAAAACATTTTATGTAAGGTCAAAGGGATCCCTGATTAGTCGTAACATTAAAATTTATTTGATAAACATATGTTAGCCTGTTAGCCTTTGCGCTAGTGCCGGCGCTATATTGCATTATATGTATTAGCTCGGTGCTAGCGTGACAAGCTATGAGGTCATCCATCCATATTTTCAGCTGCAGACTGAGTCATTTTTGTGTTCCCCTCTCTGTCATATGGATGGAGGACCTCAGTGACGAGAGGAGAAGGGCTGTGTCCAAAACGGCAGGACGGGTCCTCCGAAGGTCGAATTTGTCGGCCGCATCGGAGGAGTCTTCGGTTTTGGACGGCCTTCGTCGTGGGGCTGTGACGTATGCGGCCGACAAATTCGACCTTTGGAGGACCCGTCCTGCCGTTTTGGACACAGCCAATGTGTAGCGCTGAGCTAATACATATATATGGCGATAGCTTTGGGGCTAATGCTAAAGCTAACAGGCTAAGCTGAGGTTCTTCTTCCATGAAGCAGCTCTGTTGTCCTCCATCCATATTTTCAGTTACAGGCTGAGTCATTTCTACCTTCTTCTCTGTCAACGCTCTCTGGTTTCATTTAAAAGAGTCGATCATCAGATATTGTCCAAGATTAACCTTCAGGGTGGATATAGCTCGCTAGCAGCCTCGCACAGAGGACCTATCCACGTCATCATTTACCCAGAATGCTTTGTGTGTAAATAAAATGGCCCCGTCCGTGTAATATTTTTAAACTTTTAGTTAAAAAATGCTAAAAACTAAATAGCCTACAGTATTTTTACAGTCTATTTTACAGTCAAAATGTATGTTTATAAAATAAAGTATAATGTTACAACTAATTGTGGATCCCTTTAAAGTAGCATCAGGAAGTGCAGGTCCAGTTCAAATCTAGCAAAACTCCAAAACAAAAACTTAAAAAAAACCCAAACACAAATATTAGCAAATTTTATAAATGTATTTATGTATTAAATACTAAAATTTTAGAAACAGGAATTATGCCACATAGCTAAAAAAATAATTCTTAATACACTCCAGATTTTATTATACAATACAGGAGTTAGCACATTTTTAATTCCAAAGTTCTTTCAATTGTAAAATCAATAGAAATGCAATCACTTTTTGCTCATTTACGGTGTCAGTTTAGAAGCAAAAACACCCATTTAACATGGAAAGAGCAGCAGCGCTGACAGGATAAATGATAGTTGTCTTCAGTAAACATGATGCAATCTTCCCTTTGTAAAATATTGAATGCCATGCATTAACTAACATAAGCAGGCAGGTATAACAAGTTCTGGATTCATTGTGTTTAAAATAGCAAAAGAAAAACAACAAAAAAAGATGTTAAAAAACTAAGTAGTCAGTTGAACATATACCTGTCAGAAGTAGAAACGGAAGAAATGATGTGCAGGACAGATCATTTTTGCTCCTGGTTTCCACTGAAACATGTTTCATGGCAAAAATGAGAAATAATTTCATAACTTCCTCCTTAGCTAAGCRTGAAAAACAAATTGTAAAACAAAGATCTTTTCATAAAAGTAACAATTAAATCACATTTGATTTTTATTTAACACTTCTGGCAGTGCATCATCAAAGGAACAGCATCTGTTAGATCTTTTTTTTTGTTTCTTTTCAGAGTGTATTTGTTCATTAAAGCCACAGCTAACGTGTTGCACAGCCTGCGCTCTGATTGGGCAGACTTTAAAATACGTTTGAAAGCTCTAAAACCTCAACAAAAGGGAAGAACTGTGAGTAAAATGTGCTTCATGTGTTTGGGGAGCACTTTTTTTGGCAAGTAGATGAAAGCCCAACAGGTAGAATTAAGGCCATTAACAGGTGACAGGAAATGAGGAAGCTGTCGGTTCTTGTTTTATTAGAAGTGGTCTGCCAAACATGTGATCTAACAAAGAGAATTAGTTAAGAAGATTTAGTACAAAAGGAAATAAAGATGAGGGCTAAAATTGTTCGATGGATCAAACTCTTTTAGTCTCAGATCTAACGCTATAATTTCCAGTAGGGACTATTTAAAGTTTCCAACAGGCTGACTGGAAATCAGAAAAAAAGGTTTTGATTTATCTGAGAAAGATGACATAAACATACTGTGTCTTACTTTTTGATTAGTAAACATATGGAGGATGGAAAATGGGTAGACAGTTCACCATCATTTAATTATTTATTTTTTGTCCTGACACTATATTATATACAGAATACACAAATTAGAGCAGCTGTCCTAATTGGTAAATACAAATATAATACCTGTAGTAAGATTATTCCAATATGATTTGCAATAACGGAGCTTGAGTACTAAAAAAATGACACTGTTAAATTAAAATATATACATACATGCATACATATATGACACTGTCACCAGATTTAAATCAAACAACTTAACTGGTGACGTTGAAAATGTCATGTTTTGTTTGGATTCATTATTTTATGTTGTCAGCGTAATTTCAGTTTTATGCTCTGAAATTAAAATGAAAATGGATGGAGCCTTTCTGTTGACTTTATTTGAGTGAAAACATGTCAGGCCTTGAGTTTTTTTCAGTCGAATCTTAAAAATCCAGATCGCTTTCAGAAAGCAAACTGGTAATTAAAAAAAATAATAAATAAA